TTGAATGTTGTTATATTATGGTCACTATTCCCAAGCGGTCCTGTAACGGTTATATCCTGGACCTGATCCTGCACTCCACTCAGGACTAAATCGAGAATTGCCTCTCCCCTTGTGGGTTCCTGCACTAGCTGCTCCAAGAAGCAGTCATTTAAGCCATTGAGAAATTTTATCTCTGCTTCTCTTCCTGAGGTGACATGTATCCAGTCAATATGGGGGTAATTAAAATCCCCCATTATGACAGAGTTCTTCATTTTGGTAGCCTCTCTAATCTCCCTTAGTATTTCAATGTCAGTATCGCTGTCCTGGTCAGGTGGTCGGTAATATATCCCTACTGCTAATTTCTTCTTATTGGAGCATGGCATTACTATCCATAGCGATTCTATTGAACATGTTGATTCACTTAATATTTTTATTTTGTTTGATTCTACATTATCTTTCACATACAGTGCCACTCCGCCACCCAGCCGGCCTGCTCTATCCTTTCTATATATTTTATATCCCGGTATGATTGTGTCCCACAGATTTTCCTCATTCCACCAGGTTTCAGTGATGTCTATTATGTCAATCTCTTCCTTTAATACGAGGTACTCTAGTTCACCCATCTTATTAGTCAGACTCCTAGCATTTGTGTACAAGCACTTTAAAAATTTGCCACTGCTTATTTGTCTGCCCTTCCCTGATGCATTGGATTCATTGGGAACAATGAATGCACTCTTTTGATGTCAAGAGGGTACTTGCCCTCAACACTGACTGCACTAAGTCTTTGGAAAGTCGACGTAACTGTTCATGGCAGCAGCAGAACAAATGAAGGGGCTGCCAGTATCGTCACAGCATATTTCCTCCTGAATCATGGCTTGCACATTATGACATGGCCAAGATTGTGATATCGGGGTGTCTGTTGCACTTCAGCTCGGGTGGAAGCCTGCTTGGCTGCCTTCCTAGTTCATGTCCCTCTCCAGGAGATCTGCAGGGCGGCGAATAGGTCTTCCATCTCTATCTTCATATCGTACTATATCATTGTGAATCAGTCCAGATGGGATGTAGTGTTTGGCACAGCAGTACTTCAGTCAGCCATTTGTTGACTCCAGCCCTTCCTCCTGGGTATGGCTTGCAAATCACCTAATTGGAACAGATGTGAGGAAGCACTCAAAGAAGAAAAAATGGTTATTCACCTTCTTGTACCTGTTGTGCTTCAAGATATGTTACTGCTGTCTGTTCCAGACCCACCTTTCTTCCCCACTGTTGGAGCAGCTGGCAAGGAGGAACTGAGGGACTATTGGGTCATCGGGATCACATATAGAACACTATGCTGGGAGCACTCCAGAGGGCTCTGCAGCCAACCCAACAGGTAGTTGATAGGGTAAAACTTTCCAACACCCATGCACGCAGTGCACACACACCTAATTTGAATAGATATTAGCAACACATCTCAAAGAACAGTGGTTATAAGAAGGTGAGTAACCATGTTTTTCCAAGTGTGAACTCTGCTAGTGCTGCCTATTCATTGATTTTTTTGGTGTGGAAAGAAGACATTCTGTTTCTCCACCTAAAAGTGTGTGGGGACCCCTTTCACCCTCTTGATTTTAGGTCACACCCACACAAAGTTTATTTTCTTTCTCTTTTAACATCATCTAATCATATTTGCAAAATTGACTCTGTGAAAGTAGTGGCTTCTGCTACACAACAGATTTCCTCCTTCCTTTCTCCCCTAAATTAACTATGGCTTCTAGTAGAAATCCTCCTACGTTTTTGCAGGTGTTGGGAATGTGCATAGAGTGCTCAGTAGAGGAACTTGAATTTAGTAAGGTCCTGGTCCTTAATTAGTTCTTAGTCTGTTATAATTTCTGCTTTAATTGTTTAGTTGTGGTGTGCAGCTGGAGTCAACCTGATGGGGTGGAAGCCTTTTGAACAGGATTCTGGGAATGGACAGAAGCCAGATCCTGGACGTGATCCTCTCACCTGTGACCGGGAGGTAGAAGGAGAGAACAACAAAAGTAATCACACATCTCCGGAAAAGAAAAAGGTCAGAAAAGGGACCCTCTGATTCTCCCCCCATTTTTCTGGCCTCCCTTCTATGGGGCTGTTTGCATAATCTTTCCTCCTGTTGCCATTGATTTAATTATCTATGCAGCATTATCCAGTGATAAGAGCAGGTGCTATTTACAACTCCGCCAATGAATTTGTGTTCTTGGCTAAGTCACATTCCTGACCAAGCCTCCATTTCCCCCTTTGTAATGTGCTTGGAGACCTCCATATACAAGGTGCTTTATTAGAATGAAAGGCTTGTCTGATGTTGAATGGAAATAGTCTTTCATAAATAGTATGAGGATTCAGGCAGGAACAGGATGTGATGTGAATCATGGACTCGGATAACAGATGGCTGTTGCTGCTTCAGCAGAACCACTGCTTTCCAGCTATCAGACAGAAGCAGAAATGGCAAACACAATGGTTCATTTAATTTGGCCTTCCGAAAGAGGCAATGTTAGCAGCTATGAGAATGGAAAAAGATAGAGCCTATGTACTTGTAATTGATAAGTAGTGAAAGTACAGTTGAATGTAGGTTGTTTAAAAAAAACAAAATAACCGGAGAAGTCCTGTAACACCTTACAGACTAACAAAAATATATGTATAATAACATGAGCTTCCGTGGGCTTTGTAAATCTTTGCAAGATTGTCACTACTTTAGCTTTCATGCCTTTCCACAGTAGGATGGCTGCAAAGCCTCTGAGAAGCAGGATAATATAGCAATAGATTTCTAATAACTAGTGGATTCCCACTTCAGCCCATCTGCATCCCAGCTGTATTTTGAGTTAAGAAGTGGACTTACTATCAAGTGAGTTGGTATGCTCATTCCCTGTCCTGTTTTACCACTGCAAGAGAGATTTTACTGGAACAAGCTGCTGCTTCTGAACTGCTCATTCCATTCTAGAAAGCAGCTTTTTCCACTGAACATAAACCCAGTGAGATAGCAGTTATAGCAGTTTTGAAGCCACCTAGATGGCATGTATAGCTGTTCTGTGGCCTGTCTGGGGAACTGTGATGACTTTAAAAAAGGAGGAGTTGTGCTAATAGCAGTCAGGGAGCATTCCTTGCTTAAGTTAATAGTTCAGGTACAGCCCATGTTTGCAGGATGTCTAAATGTTGTTACTATATGACTCTCCGAAAGTGTTCCTAGTGTCACTAATTGTAAATTTCAGCAGCAAAGCTAAGGGCCAAACTGCCCATTCACCCCATGTGCTCTCTGCAAGCCTGTGCTGTGGTATGCTGGAGCAGCAGGGTGGCAGAAGTTTGCTTTGTGGCTGCCTATTTTGTGTATCTTCAGAAGCTAATAAGAGGTGTTCACTCTCCAGAGATGGCAGACTTGTCTCTTCAGTCCAAATCTTGACACAGTTGGGTTGGCTAGCCATAGTCTCAGGAGTTCGGGTTCTCTTCTCACTGCAGGTCAAGGAGCTGCATGAAATGGATGCCACATCCAGCCGAGTCTGGATCCTCACGAGTACCCTCTCTACAAGTAAAGTTGTGATCATTGATGCCAACCAGCCTGGCACAGTGGTGGATCAGTTTACTGTCTGCAATGCTCATGTACTCTGCATTTCCAGTATCCCTGGTAAGTAAGAAAAGATTGTCACAAATATGCTTCACTTATTCCATAGCTAAAAAATGGGAGCTGCTGTGAGCCGTTCAGCAACTGTGTCCAGATTGTCACCCATATCATCCGTTCATGTAGGACCAGCTTGTGGAGACCTGCCCCACATTGATGAGCACTTATTCATCTAAGTGGTACCTTTGACTTCAGAAAGTCTACTTATGTAAGCATGTACTAACCAGGGTGAGTAAGGGCTCCACAAACCTGGCTGTAATCATGGAGGCTAGGTAGGGCCCTCTCCAGGGTCTGTAGAGACTGGTAAGCTCAGAATATTACATCTCCCTGGATATCTCAAGAATACTGCTAAAGTTAAATGAGATAGAGTGGCTGCTAAACTTATGGGAGAGTCTCTTCCTTTCCTTTCAGCGGCTAGCGACAGTGACTATCCTCCAGGTGAGATCTTTCTGGAGGGAGACATGAATCCAGAAGAATCATCTGGAGCAGATGGAGTCCTAGCAGGAATCACTCTTGTGGGTTGTGCAACCCGGTGCAATGTGCCACGCAGTAACTGTTCTTCCCGCGGAGACACCCCCGTGCTGGATAAGGGACAGAGTGAGTCTTGGGACTAAGGTCTCATGATGATCTGGTTTTCACCCTGTGCCTATAACGAGGCATACTTCATCTAGATACTCCCCTTTCTGGCCTGAAGCTCTTGAGGATCCCCAGGAGGTTTTGCAGTCTGGTTCAAGTCTTAAAAACCTTGGCCATCTCCTTTGTGTTAAAAATTAAAATACTTTTGAGATCTTCTCTTTAGAACCCAGAGTGTTCCTTTCCTCTTCTCTATCAGCGATATGTATCATGTTGCACAGTACAGGGATTAACAGAGTGGAATCTTTTGGACAGATGACATGTCTCTGATATCACTTTTGCTGCTATTTTTAGCATTTTCCTTTCCTGACTAATGTGTTTCTATAAACTCACTAATTTTACTGAGGAGAAAAGAGAAGTGAGTGTAGGAAAGGGAATAAAAATACTCTGGTCAGACACTTAGTGGAATGATCCAACATACAGGGTTTCTGACCTCCTACCAGACATAGACTACAGCTCACCTTAAAATACACTCAGACTCCTATCCTTCAGAGCAGAGATCTCGCTTTAGTACTCCCCCATCTATACTCAGGTTTGGGGGAATCTATAATAGCAGACACACAAGTTGTCTGACTTGGAAGAATAATTGTAAAACCGGAAGCTTTTATTTATTTATAGATTGATAGATCCCTCCACCTTGTTTCCCATTTACCTTACAGCATGTTCCTCTTCCCTAGGTGAGGTGGCTGCGGTCAGCAATGGGAAGATTAATCAGTCCCAGTCTACAGAAGAGGCAACAGAAGCTACAGAGGTACCAGAGAATGGTGCAAATGAAACAGAACCAGCTCAAGTTCGGCCTGGTCCACTTACAGAGCACATTTTTACGGATCCAGCTCCAGCTCAGGCACCTGTTAGGCAGAACAGGTAGGTTGGCTGCATGGAGTATGCTTCTTGCCTTATCCTTAGATATAGCTCCTTAGGGCAGGAGCCATCTTTTTATCCCATGTTTGTACAGCGCCTACTGCAGTAATGTTCTGATCCATGATAGGGAGTCCCTGGTGCTATGGTAACACAAAAAATAGATAATAATACAGTTGTTTACCATCTCTCTTTGCCTGCATCAGCTGTCCATGATGAGTAAAATGAGGTGGCCAGCCTGGTTTTTTGGGGCAGATTCAAACTGTCATCGTTTTCATGCCATGTCAATATCACAGATGGGCTAACAGGATAAAAGAGCAATAAAATAAAACAAACATGGTTCAGCCAACAGCACACTGGTCTGTTTATGAGCAGATATTTAATCTCCTGATGTGAAATTAGAGCTGCTATCAAGAGGAATCCTTACAGAACAACTACACTTGAATGTTCTCATCTGACTCTGTCTGATTTTGACATTTATTTATTCTGGTAATATCTAATGTGCAAGGTGCTGTACAGATATCAAAGGAGGCACAATCTTTGACCAAAATCTTAGAGTAAATGAGACAGGGATGGTGATCTTTGGCTGGAATGGTGCTATAGAAATGCAAAGAAAAAGCTCAGTTTTAACCCCCCCCCCTTTTTTTTAAACCAAAAGGAAATGTAAGAGACAAAAAAATTCTAGTTAACCATAAACTAAGTATGTTACCTAATACTAAGGTTAAAACATACCTAGAAAGAACATTCATTTAACAATAGCTTTGAAAAAATCAGGACATAACCAATTGAAGAACAATTGATAAAAGCACTGTCACAGAGATTGCATCAACCTGTGCGTTCACCCTAGGACTCTAACTGGGGACTTGGCACTACTTTTATAGAACTAAGAATAATGAACCTTGCTGAAAAGGATACTCTGCTATGTATTTTAGGTCACAGACATGATCTGTAATGAACTTGAGTCTGTTTTGCTTCTGTAGTGAGAATGGGCAACAAAAAACAGAGTCAAGCACAGTTATGCCAGAGCAGGAAGTGAATGGTGATGCTGCTGGAACAGGCACCAGTGCCGCACCCACAATGTGGCTCGGGGCACAGAATGGCTGGTAGGTTCACTGTTGTCTTACAGAACCCTATGTCACCCGCATTCATAAAAAAACCCATTACTGTTACATTTATAGAGTGCATCCTTGCTGCACTAGCTTAGCTAGTTCATCTTAGGCTGAGCAACTCACCTACACTTTTGCAAATTCCTTTCATGCTAGAGTGAAAGATACAAACCCTACCCCATAGTTCAGCCTTTGTAGGTGTATGGACGTTTCTGCTGACTCACTGTCTGCTCCCCTTTCCCAGGCTGTACGTGCACTCAGCAGTGTCCAACTGGAAGAAATGTCTGCATTCGATAAAGCTGAAGGATTCTGTGCTGAGCCTGGTGTAAGTTTGTATACTGAGTTGGGGACTCTAAAACAGGGAATTCATTACTTGTCCTTGGTTGGTCCTGTGCCTGGCCATCTTTTCCTCACCCAGAAAAGTGTTCTGGAAATCAGTAAAGAGCTGTGGGGAGGGAGTCTGCATCTGCTTTCTGTTCAGTGATCCATTTAAGCCTCACAGGAAATTTCTACACTGCACACTAAGCCCAGGTCTTACGGAGGCTTGCAGATTGTGTTTCCAAGTTCATGCTTGAGCATGCACACTGCATTTTAAGCCTGGATTTACAGTTGCTGGATCTGGGGGTTTCATCTGTGCTAATGTGTCCATTCTGTACTGAACAGACCATCTTATTTGGGTCTGTGGCTAGACCTGCATCCACCTTGAAAAATGACAGGCCTCGGACCTGAGTCATGCAGGAGTTGCACTCTGACCCATCACTTAGTAGGGTCCTAGAACTCAAGTCCTGAATGCTTGCTGACCTGACTCTCACTGATTTGTGATGGAAAGAGCTCTTGGGCTGAAACCTGAGTCAGAGCCCAGACTTAAGTGTGTATTGTAGACATACCCATACTGAGCTGTCTTCTTTCCCAGTTGGAGGTTTGTACTAAATGAGACGGAACATTGGAAATAAGTAAATGGGAAGGGGAGGAGGAGAACAGCTTGAGTCTCCTCTGACTCACACTAATGTAAATTAGAAATCAGTGAAGTTACACTATTGTAAAGTCAGTGAAAAGGAGAGGTGAAACTCAACAGGGCATTGGTGAGACCCTGTTCAGTCTTATAATGAAGGCACTAGTGCTACCAATAGAATAAAGAAACTATGTGTGTGACTCTGACGCGTGCTGAATGTTGTCTGCAAGTGCTGGATTTAGTAGTCGTGCTAAGACCATATCTGTGATTTGTCTAGAGACTGGAAATGATTTATAACCAAGAGAGTGGGAGAAGTAACCTTTCATTCCCCAGACCAAGCAGACATCTGAAACCAGCAGCATTTCCTGTTGCTACAAGTTTTTCATGAGCATTTTCTTTTCTATTATTTCAGGCATGTGAAAGGACGGGTTCTTGTTGCCTTGGCTGATGGAACACTAGCCATATTCCATCGAGGAGAGGGTAAGAATCAAAGCAGTAAAGATGAATTAGCCAGCTTCAAAACAGAAGCAGTCTGTGGAAATGAATAAAGCATGTTTCAAGATGGCATAGTGCTAGCTTACTAGAGAATTAATTTTTTTTTAAATGTATGACTACTATAAAAGTTTTATCCTTACCCTCCATCATTATAGTTCCTCTTATGTCTGGGTTGTAGATTTTTATCCTGTTCGCTGCCAGCTGATTTTGCATCTCTGTCACACTGCAACTCCCAGCTGCATTCACACCTGGGAACTTCAGAGCAGTTTCCAGTTGTGACGGAAGTTCCTAGAGCAAAACCTTGCCTAATTACACTCAGATAATTCAAGGAGTAATCAGAGTAGTAGGGTCAGTACAACATACTAAACTACACAGCCTGCTGTTTGGGTGGAAACCAGTTTCGTTTCAACTTCTGTTATGGTTGGTTAGGTAGTGTGAACTTGGCATTCAGGTCTGATCATTCATATATTCAGAACATTCATATTAAAGCTACAGTAATCCTTCATGACCTAGAGATTATATGCTTTCAGAAGAAGTGGGATTGCTCTAGTAGCTGGAGCATAGGTCTACAAGTGAGAGATCTGGGTTCTGTCCCCAGCTGAGAGTGACTTTGGGCAAATCATTTAACTATGCTTCATTGTCTGTAAAATGGGGAGAATAATGCCCCTTACAGATGGAGTGTAAGACTATAATTCATTCAAGCAAGCTTTGAGAGAGTCCATTAGGTTTGCTTTCTTTTTTCCCCCATGGTTTTTGCTGTAGCTCATTTAAAAAAAACTCAGGGGAGTCTAAAGCCTCCGTACTTATTGTGAGGAGGTGAATAATCAGCCAGATTTTCGGAGTTTCATGTTAGGGATGTGAACGACTAGTCGCTCTCCACTACCCTTGGGCTCCATGTGGCACTGCTGCTTTGAAACGCTATGTGGAGCCTGATGCTGGGCTCCCTGCAGCATTTCAAAGCGGCAGCGCTGTATGGAGCCTGAGGTCTGGCCATCTCGGGTTGGACATTCTCTCCCGGCATTGCTGCCTTGAAATGCCACAGGGAGCACTGGGCCAGCAGGGGACTGCTGAGTCCCCCATTTGTCCCGGGCTCCCCACAGCGCTTTCACTTTTGAAGTGTAGCAACAGCACTGGAGCTGTTGCAACACTTCACAGGCGGAAGCGCCCTTATCGACTAATCGAATAGTTGATGCAAATTGCATTGACTGTTCGATTAGCCAAATAATTGAAATTTTACAGCCCTATTTAATGTGTTTAGTGAGCATAAGTCTCTGACCCCCAAGTAACAGTGTGAATCTGCCTTGTTAGCAGAGCTAGGGAAAATGAGCTTTGGTGTGTGTGTTTTATAATTCATGAATCTCCACTGCCAGTTTAGCAGGAATTCACATTTGATTATTTATACATTCAGAATCTCCAAATTCTATTTCAGTATAATAAACTACCTTGATTCTTTGTACTTCTTATTATGGGAATTTTCCTGCAGAAATTCTTTTCACTTTTGGCAACACAAAGATTTCTGTAGTCTTCAGATTATGACAGTTATGTATCAGCATTTCCCTCCTGCGTTTCATCTGGGTCTCGTGGTATGAATTGTATTCCTGAATAATTTGTTCTTGAGGGTTCCTGGCCAGTCTTGTGCTCCTCCTTGACTACTCAGAAAGCTAAGAGTATTGATTACTTATAGCTGTGTTTTAAATAACTAACACAGCTTTCATTTCTGGGACAGTACCACACTGGAACTACCCAGTCCCAGAACTAAGTGGAATAACAGCTGTTGAGTGCACAACCCCTCTGCTGTCTGCTTTTCCCTAGATGGTCAGTGGGACCTCAGCAATTACCACCTGATGGACCTGGGTCATACCCACCATTCCATCCGCTGCATGGCTGTGGTGTACGATAGAGTCTGGTGCGGCTATAAGAACAAAGTCCACGTCATCCAGCCTAAAACAATGCAGATTGAGGTGAGGAAAGTGAGTGTGAGACAGGTTGGTTGCTGGCTCCTGCTATATTTGTTCTTGCTGCTGTTTGGCTGGGGAGTGAGTGAATGCAGATCTTTTGTATGCTCTCTGTTGACTCCATGGTGGTAGGGCAGAAGCTGTAATGGGAGGTCTTTACTCTGGAGATCTGCCAGAAAAGCATTCCTCCTCATCTAACTGATGAGATCAGCAGCTGGCTCTAGTGTGTATCTGTTAGGCAGTGTATGACTATAAAATGGGCAAGTGTGGGTAGCAAGCTGTGGGGTGGAAGCTCCATTTACTGAAGAGCAAGCAGTTAGTTTAAACCCCATCTTACTGAAATTGTGATTTGTAACTGGAGTAACAGTGCCTTGTAGGATGCAGCTGCTATGAAAGGGGGAAAAATATCAACAGTAAATTCGCAGCCCGAAAATGCACCTACCTCATCCCCAGCACCTCCCTCATCCTTGTGCTTTTAAAAAGCTAGACTG